GGGGGGCGGGGGTACTCATGTTTTGCGTGCCATAATTTTTAGATCGTTGACCACGCGTCCTGGAGACGACGGAGCAACTAGAAGGGGTGGAGGCGTTATCGTTAAGAGAACAGAGAATATCTACTCAATCACGGGAAGTCTACACGTTGGAGATAGTACCCCAGTACAAGTGGATGTGTTCAAGTGTTATTTATGCAAGGGAAGGTGGGAGGGGGGAGGTGAAACATTGTTAGAAATATGCCGGTGCAACCAATCACAAACAGACTATTGTACCCGTTAGGGTCTGGGTTATAAGTGAAACGTACACTTGTTCACTTCAAGGTGATGGGACGAAATCAAATCACGCACATTGGACAATAACCAGCAGAAGGGACGAGGGCTACATTTATTGTATGCATACGCCAACGAAACAAGGGGTGTGCTGCACCAGCGCCTGATCGAAATAGTGCCGACATGCAAACAAGCTGCGGCAAGCAACAACTGCAGCCACGCGCGAACGAACGAACGAACGAACGAACAGGGTGCCACCATTGAGACCGTTCAGACCATTCACACCATTCAGACCGTTCTGACCATTCAGATCATTGAGATATTGACAAGCAGTCGAATAGCTGTTGCTGTAACCAACAACCGCGTGAAAAAGCCAGCTTAGGGCGTCGATACGTGTGTAACGCATCATTCAGATCTTCACTCACCGTGAAGGGCACGAAAAGGTTTGGGTTTCAATCGCTACGCATCATTGGTTCAGACGTTCGCTCACCTTGAAGGACACACAGGCAATCGAACCGCTGCAGGATGGGGTCGGTGAGCTCCACATTCTCCGCAAGGGTCAGGGAGGCATCGTATCGACCGCCGATGGGGTTGGCTGCCGCCACCACCGCACACCTGAAAAACACGAAAATCCGAAACCGTAATTCAGTTGAATATTCATTGGTTGGTCGGTGTCAAGGTTGGCGTGTGGGGCGCTCCGTCCGCCTTTGGCGTCAACAAAGAGCGTTTCCCGGGCGTTAACGGGCTAGCTGCAACCAACCCACACCCGGATGTTCAAAGCTATCGCTCGCTAGCGATTGCTCGAGGGTCGTGTTCCTGGCTGGCAAGGACAACCGCACCATCCGTAAACAGTTCCACACACACACACACACACTTTCCCGAAGTGTCAAACTCGTGTGGGTGTTCTGCTCGATTTTCTCATTCTTGTCTTAGTCCAAGCAACTCTCGGCTAAGACCAAACTAACCCTGGCGAAGACGACGACGGCATGCCGTCATGCCTCTCGCTCTTGTGCACTGTCCGAAAAACGGCGGAAACAATAATTGAGAAGCGTCTCACTCGTCGTGAAACTCGCTGTTGCAGCTCCCATCGTAACTCCGCAACACCAACATGGAGTTGTCACGCACGACATTGGCGTGAATGCGCGGTGGGATTTCTTGATGATTGCTACAGCAGTATCGCTGTACCTGGCTTGCAAGGACGTAACGATGCCTGCCTTGCTGACGGATATGCTCTGCTGCTCCATTGCCTCGTGGATGGACGTCCGGTCCTGCTCGTTCATCTGCACACGGCAACGGCACGGCAACGGTAGGGTAAGGTACGGCGCGATACGGCAGTGGTAATGGTGCGTTTCGTTACGGCAAGGTATGGCATGGTACGGGACGGGATGGTATGGGATGATGAAGTATGGTACGGTGCGGTATGGTACGGGACGACGGGGTACAGTGCCAATATAAAGGGCAAACACAAAAAGAAGGAGCGCAGCAGGAGTCGGGTATATGGCGGACTGCAAAAAAAAAAAAGTATTCCAACCCACTCCGGCAAGGTCATGGGTGAGCCATCAATGCGCAACGACAACAACAACAACAACGGCACCTGCACCACTACTACCGCTGACAACAACAAAGCGCAACAGCAGCAGAATAACAACAACAACAACAACAGCAACAACAACCGACCCACCTTGTCAAACTCGTCGATGAGACACATGCCCTTGTCCGCCAGCACCAGCGCCCCTCCCTCCAGCGTCCACTCCTTCGTCAGGGGATCCTTGTGCACCCCCGCCGTCAGCCCCACGGCAGAGGCACCCTTGCCGGTGGTGTAGACAGACCGAGGGGCCGTCTTCTCGCAGTACTTGAGTACCTTTTTTCCAGTAAGCCAAGGGCATTTCATTCCGAGGCATCGACGACCGAACGTGGTTCGTTCATGGTTCGCTAGGTGGTTCCGTGGGATGTTTTGTGGGTGTACCGTGTGAAAAACGGAACCGAACACAAGGGGGGCGGGGGGGGTCGTTCGTGCTATGGCGTCTTTACTTCTAGTTTCTACTGCACTCAGACACCGCAGCACTCCGTTGCCCCATAGTGATTGAATTCCAGGACGGCAAAATGAAGTCACTACCCGTCCATGATTTTTTGTTTCCATCACTGTAAACCAGCGCTCACAGCATTTTTTCCGGGAAGGATGCTTCGCGATCCTATGTAGCCGCCGTCTGTCTGTGTGTGTGTGGGGGGGGTACCTGAGACTTGGCCGTTCCCGGGTCCCCCAGCAGCAGCACGTTGATGTCCCCCCTGATGCGGTGCTTGGCGTTAACGTCCTTGGCACACCCGCCGAACAGGCTCAGCGCGATGGCCGTCTTGACGTGCTGGCAACCGTAGATCGACGGCGCGATCGAGCTGATGATTCGCCGTCCGATCTGAATAATAATCGCGATGATGATGTGATGGTCATGATAATGATGATGGTAACGGTGGAGGTGGTGGTGGTGGTGGTGATTGTGATGATGATGACGTGCGTACCGTTTTACCGCGTTAGAGGGTGCCAGCGAGGTTGGGGTCGTGTAACATGATGGTCACGTTGAGTAAGGTACATTTCACGAAGTAAGGGCGCACGTGTGTGCAACGAGCGCTTCGGTAATGCCTGCGCAAGCAAGGAACAAATATGCATATAAGCACACGTGCACAAGGGTTACCTGGCATGAAAGCTTTCTAAAGAAAGCAAGGGATATACATGAAGATTGCTTGATCCCGCCGAATGAGATCGAATGTTGGTCACCGTGGCGCTCTCTTTCCCTCCCTCTCGGACAATCCTGCCTGTGAAACGACCTCTCTTTCTCTCTCCCCCTCCCCCCTCTCCCCCTCCCTCCCTCCCTCTCCCCCCCCCCCCTCTCTCTCTCAATCTAAATACACCTCTCGATTTCTATGCACAAGTCTCATCAGCGCAATTCAATGCTTAATCGATCGATCCACATACACCCACCTGAGGGTCGCGTGCCAGCGCCAGAATCTCCCTCCGGTCGTCGTCCGTGAGCCGGTGCACAGAGAACTGGTCCTGCCGCTTCTGGATGTAGTTCGCCTCGATCAAGGTTCCAAACACCGGGAAACCGGATTTCTTGGACAGGTTCAGGTCGTACGAGTGGGTGTAGATACCTGTCACTTCGATCTCTTCCCCTGTTGTTGCGGGGCGGAGGTGGAGGCCCAAGTCATTTCAGCGGGCGGGCTTGCTTCGTGTTAACTTACCTCACTTCGTCGTGTGCACTAGGGCTTTGACAGACATGTGCACCTCTTTCGAGACGTGGGGAGAACGGGGTTGGAGGGCGGACTTGCTTGCGTTAACTTCGTCGCTACGTCATGCTTTGATAGACAATGCACCACGCACCGAGGCGTAATGAGGACGGGGTCGGAGGGGTGGTGGGGTTGCTTGCGTTAAGGTTATCAAGGGGAAGAGCTTTCTCCAACATGGTGCTCGAGATTTTGACATGCTCGTTACGTGTCATGCGCACTACATAGAGGTTTGACAGCCGATGATGGACCACACAGCTCTTTCGAGACAGACGATGATGGATGAAAACACCTCAGACACGGGGTTGGCGAAGGGGTGACGAGGTGTAGGCTAACGGGTGACGAGGTGTCTTGTGTACCGGGGTGCGAGTATGCAGAGGTCCGAGAAATTGGTAGCCGCAGCAATAGCGGAATACCCTCGTCAAGGACCTCTCACGAAACAACATGAACACTAAATACCCTCGTCAAGGACCTCTCACGAAACAACATGAACACTAACACCAACAGCAACAACCACAACAACAACAACAACAACAACAACAACTACCACCACCACAACAACAACAATGGTAACAACTACCACCACCACAACAACAACAATGGTAACAACTACCACCACCACCACAACAACAACAACAAACACAACCACGACAACAACAACTACCACCACCACAATAACAACAACAACAAAAGCAAAAACAACAACAAAAACAAAAGCAAAAACAACAACAACAACAACAACAACAACAACGACACACATCACCATAACCACCACCACCACCACGGCCATCATCATCACCACCACCACTATCACAAGCAAAAGCAACACCCACAACAACAATTTTTGTTTCACCTGGCCTGGCGCGGTCGATCAGATCCGCGAGTAGGATGACGTCCTTATACCTTGGCACACGACCGGGGGGCACGCTGCCCGGGGACTCCTGCAAAAAAAAAAAAAAAAAACATCAAGCAAGCCAGTCGCATAACGGAGACACAAAAACGGCAGTAAATGTCAAGAATCAGTTGACGGAGCTGTCTCATTCGATGAGAACGGTTTGTCGTGGACACAAATGCGATGAGGTAGCACCCCAGGCACGGACACACCCAACCATCGAAGGCTACATGACACAAGATACCACATCGGACTGATTTTCAGAGCTCCATTTCTCAACAGTTGAACGGGGGGCGGTGCCGAAAATCGTGGCGTCGGAACGAACCGTCTTGTCGAGAGCTTTCCGATAACGAATCGTTTGATTCTACATCCTCTTCGTCGTGGAATAACGGACCTTGTAAAATCGGTCCAGGGGGTGTGTCACCTACCCGCCGATTCGAAACGGTTACACGATTATTTTCTACAGTAACGTGTCCACAAAAAAGATGGCGGAAATGTGATCGGAAATATGCTGTCTTTTGGTACTTGCATTGCATAGATTCACGGTTCTGGCAGCAAATAAGGCACGCGTCTGTCTGTCTGTCTGTCTGTCTGTCTGTTTGTCTGTCCCACCTGCAGTGTGATCTTCTGGTAGTTGCGGTACATGGTCTGCTCCTGGTCGATCTTGAAGCTGTCCTCCGCCTGACAGCCGGGACACGACCCCGGCTTCGCCTCCGCTCCGCTCCCGCTCACGCGGAAAGGTCCAAGCACGGTCTGGCACCGCTGCAGCAAAAAAAAGAAAAACACAGGGAGGGTAGGGAAGAGGGTTCAGTAGTTTGTTCGGGGTGGCGGGGGGCAGCGCGCGCCCTCGTGGAGCAGCAACGGCATCATCATCATGGTACCAAGCAGAAAAGAAAGAACGACTGATTATTGCATGCATGCGTGCATTTTCAAAACAAACACAAAGGGGGGCGGGAGGGGGGTTCGCAGTTTGTTTCGGGGTGGTAGGGGCACCACACCAACACGCACCGTTGTGCGTGCCCCCTAGTGCCGCTCCTCGTACCATTACCATGGACATTTTTCACCGTACGGCATCGCCAAGCAGATTGCTAGAAGCGAAGGTACCATGAACACTCCACCGCGTTTCGTCAAGCAGGACGCGAAACGAGGTTGTACACGCCTGCTGTAGCTGCTGATGCTGTTGCTGCTGCTGCTGTGACGCCGCACGGCCTTGCGTACACAACATCGACAGCAACAGCAAAAACCCTCAGCCACAAATACAGCCACAGCAGTCACACGGTCACAAGTCACAGCCACAGCCACAAGTCAAAAGCCACAAGTCAAAAGCCACAAGTCACAGCCAGAAGTCACAGTAGTCACAACAGCAAACGGCTTACGTGGCAGCGGTACTTGACGAGCTTGAGCTGCGGGAACACTCCCGACCTTCGCGTCACCACACCGTGCACCTTAATCAGAGCATGCAAGTGCACCTATCAAGGCGACCGGGGGGGGGGGGGATCGCAGAGCGAAGTGTGTTTATTGGGAGGGGGGGGGCGCTTTCGCCCCCTCGAGCATTGCAATACGCCTTCAGCTGGGCCCGTGAGGAGATGGAGTACAATGGCTTAGCATAGTAACTTGTGCAATCCTCATCTTGATCCAACAACCTCGAACCATATGCATGTGCCACGACAATGGAGGAGAGTGACGTCAGTAGCTCGGCGACGCGCTCTCTCCCTCCCTCTCTCTCCTCTCTCTCTCGCCCTCTCTCTCTCTCTCTGTCTCTCTCTCTCTGTCTCTCTCTCTCTCCCTCTCTCTCTCTCTCTCTGTCTCTCTCTCTGTCTCGCTCTCTGTCTCTCTGTCTCTGTCTCTCTGTACTACTGGGACGCGTGCAATATATTTACATACCTCTCGCAGGTCCCTGAGCTTGTCGACGATGGGCACGTGCGTGATGTGCACATGAACCTCATCGTGGATACGGTGGTACTCGGGAAACGCCCTCAGAACCACCGCGTTCGTCACCTGATGGTTACACCACAGCAGCACAAAAAATCCAGGAGCTGTAAGCGTTGGAAGGCGTATCGTGCCGACTAATCCCGCAGCCAATCAGAATCGATTCGATCACGTACAGTACCGGCCACAGCAATGGTGGCAACAAGGGTGTGTTCGTCGAACTGGTACCAGAACCAGGGCGTTCGTATCGGCATTGGCGGTTTCATGCGCAGGGAAGAGATGGGGGCTATAGCTGACCCCAGGCCTATCGCCCCCACACGCCAACTACCAAGCAACGAGTCCTTGGCTATCATGGACAAGGCATCTACCTTATTAAATAGCACTCCATACCCCGCAGCACCAATTAGCAGTCCCTCGCCCCGAATTTGGGGACAAAGCCCATCAAATCGGCCAAACGACCTACACATGTCGGCTTTTATCCAAGTGCCGAGCCCGTATGTTGGCTAAAACAATCCCCGGACCTCGCCCTGTATCTCAAGTGCCAAAACCCAAGAACTGGCAGAATGTCCAGCATAATCTCTCCCACCTAGAATCCTCGTGTTAAATCGACTAGCCGGCCAATGAACGCATGCATCCACCCTTTTAACCCCTATGTGCAGTTTCCGATCCTTTGTAGAAATATCGCAAACACACATGGACATCCCCTCGTTGGTGCCGTGGTTCGCGTGTGTGTACCTTCGCGATTGTGTGCACAAATGTTAGATTCTGGAGCGTTTGTCGCCCAAGAGCCAGTTCCAGAATAGGAGGCAAAACACGAAAGTCAGATCAACTCAGTCACGCAAGGGTTGCTAATAAACACGCATTAATACGTGACATCACCTCATCCATGATCTCAAGCATGTCCTTGGGCACGTCCGCCAGCCAGATAGCCAGGATTGGCACGGCCTTGGACAGGTCGATGTAGCTCACCTAACAAAAAGTACGAAAAACAAAGCAAACGAAAAATTAAAACCATGGTAACATGTTCGGCCAGGGGCAGGGAAGCTGGAGCAAAGAGAGCATAATTGAAAAAAACAGGTGGAAACCGGAAAGATGGTATCATTTTTTCGCGTCAGAGGGGGGGGGGGGTACTCATAATCGTGCATGCCGTAATCGTTAGACCATTGACCTCGCATCCCTACAAAGCCGGGACGAAGCACGCCGGGTTCTCACCGGACCAGGCTCTCACATCACCAAGCGCGAAGCGCCGTGAGGTATTCGGTAACGGATGACAGCTGCGTATGACCTAATTTATTTTCTGGTGCGTTCACTTCCAGAGACAATTGTAAGCTCTGTGTAACTGCCTCGAGGGTGTTTGACCAATTTAACACAAGTGCGATTATCCCCTTTGCGCGGAGTGAGGGTTCTCCACCCCGCACAACATAATCTACTCGACCACCATTCATGGTTACCGCAAAAAAAAAAAACTAAAGGCAAAAAAAAAAAGAGGTAACCTGGTCGCCGAGCTCACGAAGTGAATCGGCTTGTTTTACAACATCGCTGCCAAGCGACGAAAACCCAACCCCGATGGCAAACGCCGGGGGGGGGGGCTTGTTTTACAACGTCGTTGCCAAGCGACGAAAACCCAACCCCGATGGCAAACACCGAGGTGGGGGGGGGGGGGTATCGGAGCCACGGGCCTCCCGACAGGTAGATAAGGCTCACGCAAAGTGGAGGAGTTCCAACAGAGGGAGGGAGATATGAGGGAAGTCAGGGGGGATCCCGGCATAGACCAAGATCTGTCATCGTTCATCAATCTACGAGTATCATATCAGGCAACCGTTTTTCACTTACCCCGTGATCTCGTCTCGTCGCATCTCATCTCATCTCATCTCTCTTGGGTGATCTCATCTCATCTCATCTCATCTCATCTCATCTCATCTCATCTCATCTCATCTCATCTCATCTCATCTCATCTCTGTTGGCGACGGTATGAGCCGCCCACACGCCCAGCCATGTACGGTAACGAGCAACAAAGGAGCGTGCAGTGACAGAGGCTCTCGCAGAGCACGGCGGGGAAGGTCGAAACGTCCGCACAACCATCGCGTCCCGCACCAGTATCCCCATACCAACACCCCCAGTCGGCACCCGCAAATATCAAGTATGCATCCATCCCACCTCCAGGGAGGCGCGGTTAGCGGCACACATTGTCTTGACCTTCGACTCGTGCACGGGTGCTCTCGCCCCCTTCTCCTGCAGGCGGGGGAAGACGGCGATCGCAGCGGTTCAACAAAAGGGGTGAGCAAGCGCCATGTTAACAAACGAATTACAAAGTGGGTGCTCCAATGACACTTTTTTCGGGTAGAGATGGATTTATTGGGGTGACAGTTAGGAAAAAAAAAGTGGGTCAAAGAGCAGCGGATATATAGGTAAGTTCTCCCATGGAATACGTTACCAGTGACGGCGAGAGAAACAGCCCTTCGTCGACGTCCAAATTGCTCTCTCTCTCTCTCTCTCTCTCTCTCTCTCTCGCTATCTCTCTCTCTCTCGCTATCTCTCTACTTGGGGGTTCAGTGCAGTCTTGACCGTTTCCCTCCAGCAGCACACTCGGACAGAGACCCGTCACACAAGACAGACACCAACCAATCGGTCAACACGGTCAGCTTCTAAACCCGAGATACACACAAACCGAAGGGTCGACAAGGTTAAGTGTTGCTAGCCAACCCTTGAAATTATACACAAACCAACGGCTCAACACCGCCAAGTGCTGCTTGTTTCTTAGCTCTTGAAATCTACACAAGCACCGGGAGACTCGACACGGTGAATGAAGTTCTCAAACACGAGAACCAACGGCTCAACGCCTGTTTGGGCAGCTAACTGCAAACTTCCAACCCGGCTTCGACGCTGGGGGCGAGGGGGTACGGCCTAAGGTCCCCAAGGCCATGCACCACATACAACGAATGCCCCTCCCCCCCCCCCCCCCCTACTGCTTCTCGCGGGACCCCTTACCTGAAAGGTGAGCAAGAAGCTCTGAAACCGTCGCTTGATTTCCCGCCTCGTGGCGTCTTGGGCGATCCACTCCCGAAGCGGCACCCCTTGGAAGTCTTCCAGGTTCATCTACACGGGACGGAACGTGATGGGATGGTATAGGAATGTGCAGTCGAGAATATTGCACAGCAGCTCAGACAGACACGAAGCGAAGACGACGCTCAAAGATCCGATGACACATACAATGTGCTATGGTGGGGAGGAAGATGAAACGACATCACTACCACTAGAACCAAAGACTGTCCACTCATCCACTCCCTTTCAAGTGCACTTTCAAGTACACACTGGCCTTCTAGAACCAAGTTTCCTGGTAAAAGTTACCAGAGAAGAACATTTCTTGGGAATTTGTCTTACACGATCAAGCATCGAGGCGATTCAAGTCGTTTGGTGATGGACGGATCCTCTTTTTCTCTCCCACGTGCTTGCGGACCCTTCGGGTCCATAATGTTTTCCTATTTGGGTGGTAAGTTAGCCTGTGACCACCGGAATCGACCGCGTCAAGTGTTAAGACTATAATGGTACGGACAGAAGAAGGTACTGGGTAGAGAAAACGGAACGGCTCGAATGTGAAGACAACGCAACAACAACAACAACACCCCACGCAAGCCTCCAACAACCATCTTCATCGGGCAAGACTACCGGACATCTCCGCCCTATTTCCTCCATCGAAACCTCCTACACACCCTCGACGAAATGTCTTGCCGCCGTGCACGCAACACAAAACAAAACTCCCCACCCCCCGGATCGACGCTTGTGGCCACATCCCAGCGAAGAAGTTTACATACTCCACGACGAGCGCAAAGACTCTCAACATGACATCCGAAGCGTTTTCATACCTCGCCCTGATCGTCATCGTCGTCATCGTCGTCGCCACCGTCGCCCCCGTCCCCGCCGTCCCCGCCTCCACCCGCCGCCTCCCTCAACCCCAGCTGAGCGCGCCGCCTACCCCTGTCCTGCTCATCCTCGCTCCCGAACTCGTCCAGGATGCCAGCCAGTCGACCCCCACGGGCACGGTCCCTTTCGTGAGGGAAGGCAGGGGCCAGCCCACAAAATGCCAAGGTTTGAGGAAGCCAACAGAAAAAATATCAACACTCGGAGCCAACCGAAACAGACATCAAGGTGTGGAGTCGACAGAAAAATATCAAGATTCGGAGCCTACTGAAAAGGTCCAAGATTTGGAGTCGACAGAAAAATAGCAAGATTCGGAGCCTACTGAAAAGGTCCAAGATTTGGAGTCGACAGAAAAATAGCAAGATTCGGAGCCAACTGAAAAGGTCAAGATTTGGAGTCGACAGAAAAATAGCAAGATTCGGAGCCTACTGAAAAGGTCCAAGATTTGGAGTCGACAGAAAAATAGCAAGATTCGGAGCCAACTGAAAAGGTCAAGATTCGGAGCCAACCGAAAAAGAGACCAAGGTTCGGAGCCAACCGAAACAGATCAAGATTTGCAGTCAATCGAATCAGATCAAGTTTCGGGGCCAACCGAAAAAATATCAACATTCGGAGCCAACCGAAAAATATCGACATTTCGGAGCCAACCGAAGCAGATCCCAAGATGCGGAACCTACCTTAACAGACCCAAGATGCGGAACCTACCTTAACAGACCCAAGATGCGGAACCTACCTTAACAGACCCAAGATGCGGAGCCAACTGAAAACATCAACACTCGGAGCCAATCGAACAAGGATAAGAGTGGCATAGGAGAGGTCCACCTCGCCGTATCGAGTAGAAACGCCAAGCACAGAGACAGAGACAGAGACAGGCAGAAAGAGACAGAGACAGAGACAGACAGACAGACAGACCAAAATAGCAGGCAGAGACAGACAGGGGACAAGAATCGCAGGCAGAGAAGAGCCAGCCAGACAAAACCAGCAAAGCACCGGCTTGGTCGTTCATACAACACCGTTGACAGATTCCTCTCACCTCTCCGAGAGCTCTCTCTCCGCCGCCCTCCGGTCCGAGAATTCCATGTTGCCGTATTCTCTCCTGTCCAGGTCGGCTTCGTCGTACGTGTCCAGCTCGGGTATGGCTACGTAATCGGCATCGATGCGGTCCATGTCCATGATGTCTTCGCCCTCTTCCTGCGGAATCGCGTTTGTTTCGGCTTGTTTGTTGCGGCGAGACATGAACACGACGCGTTCACGGAATACGCAACAACAGCAACAAACGACATCACATACTCCGCGACGTGCGAATGATCAGCCGCCGACTCGATAGCATCAACGCCACCATCAACAGCAATCGTCTCACGGGCAGCAGCAGCAACAGCTACGGCAGCAGCCATAGAAACAACACGCAACAGCAACAGCAATAACACATACTTGAGGTACTCTGCAATGCAAAATCAGCATCCACCAGCAACAACAACACGAACTCTGCAGAGAAAAATCAGCAACCACCAGTAACAGCAACAAGCACGAAACCCTATCACGAGCACAAACAAAAACGACGACAGCACACAACCCACCTCTTCCTCCTCGCGACCCCCGCCATCCCCCCCACCATCGCTTTGGTCGGGGTCCTCGTTAATCTCCCGATCCCGGTTCGCGTCATACTCCATCGGAGGGGGGTCTGAAAGGTTGCCGTCATCCTCCTCCCCCTCCTCTTCCTGTAGTGTAGACAGCGGCATCATCAAGAGGAAGGGCGTAAGGAAGGAGCACAACAGCAAAGGATTCATACAAACTCAACCGTCATCATCCTCCTCCTCCTCCTCTTCCTGTAGAGTAGACAATGACATCATCATCGGGAGGCGAAAAGGAAGAGCACAGCAGCGAAAGGATTCGATGCACGACACGGGCACACACAAACTCAACAATCTTCTCCGCCAATTCCTGCATCCGTAGAAAGTTATATCATTGGGGAGGCATAGTGAAGCGAAAGGGCACACGAACAACAACAGCAACAGCAACAGCAAAAGCAAAAATGGATCCATTGAACGACACGAGCACGCACAACACACAACCCGTCCCTCCCCCTCCTCCTCCTCCTCCTCCCCCTCCTCCTCCTCCTCCAATTCTTGCACTACATCGTCAGTGGCATCACCAACCGACGTCGGGAGGGGACACAACACACAACGACACCACCAACAACAACGACAACAACGACAACGCCAACAACGGCAAGCAAAAAACATTACCAACAGGAACAACACCACAATTCAAAGACGACGCCCATAGCACCACCAACCGCTATTATGCCTGTATCCCAATACATCCCTTACACCACAGGACCAGATGCAACGACCACAACGACAGCGGCAACCCGACCGCCACCACCAGCCTACCTCGTCGTTCCCAGGACCGGTCCCGGCAGACTGCTGGCGACCTGCTGCTCCCTCTTCTTGTTCTTCTTGTTCGTCGAGGAGGGCATCCGCTCCGTCAAGCGCCGGCCCGCTCCCGTCGGAAGAGGGCGAGTCGTTTCCAGCGTTGAGCCGCCGCCTTCTCCTGCCAGTATCCGTAGGCAGCGTGAGGGTTCGGGTTAGAGATACAGCAGTAGTAGGCAGGGATAGGGGTAGGGTTAGGGATAGGAGAAGGGAACGACACGAATCAGACGTATTTTGCATCAGGTTGTAGGGCTTAGGGTTAGGCTTGGCCTTGATCAGTCACGAGTAGTGTCACAGCAGGACTGTTGCAATGCCGAGAACGTTAATTGTCAAGTATTGTATGTAGAAGGTAGACTGGAGGTCGGGTAGTTCGATAGGGTGAATGCGGTATGAATGTACATGTAGCAAACACAAGTAGCCCATGTACAACCAGGAATGCATCGTTTAAGTTGTGCCTGACTTTTCATCTATGGGTATTAGGTAAGAGAGAGAGAGATCCAACAGTTCGTTTCCATCGACAACCGTACGTTGCATACGCAAGATACCACACCCCCGGGACCAACTTTCCGATCTAGACTGTAGCGAAGCAGGGACCGTGCCGAAAATGGGGACATTGGAGCCTGCTTTCGAGATCTTTCCGAAAATGTATGCTATCATGTTTCATGTCGGCACCCTTTTTGTCGTGGAGTGTACCGTAAACGAGCCATTAATAATCAGTCCAGGGGGTATGGTATCTTATGCAACCTATCGTATGGGTGTAGGAAAAACGGGGCCAACCGGTGCGCACACAACAACTCGACACCGCAGGTAGTACGCGAATAATTGCCAGGGGTGAAAGCTCCTGCTGTAATAGCTCTTACCGTAGCTGTACTAATAATATTACTTACATGAAGAGTGCATTCGGAGAGAAAGGGGGGGGGCAGGATTTGATTTGAATTTCGCGATATTTTCAAACGAATTTTAAAATCCGGAGTTAGATACCGCACAATTGGGTAGCGAACCGCGAAGAGACAGCGCTTTCCACACCACGCTCATGGGTGCAACCCCCCATGCCCACGGGCTATCTCGTGCTGTACGTAGCAAGACCGCAAAACAGCGCTGTAGAAGAGAGACAGGAGCTTCAGACGTGGCGCCTTTTTCTTTCACTGCTGTTGCACCACCATGTGCAGCACAGCGTGAGGCGGGATGGCGGGTTGGCTCCCTTCTGACCCTGTCTCTCTCTCTCTCTCACCTCGGAGGTGACGACATCTTCCGCCGACAGAAGCAGGAAAGACGACACCAGTAGTATTCCTCTTAGATGATATCCTCCTTTCCAGCTAAAGCCGCTGTACAATGCAATGCTGCTGCTGCGGCCTGTGCTGCAGCCCCAGACAGCAGAGCGGCCCAGGGGAGGGAGCTCCGCCGAATGATGCGTACTTCTACGTGTTGGGGGTTTCGAAATAGATGACGGTTTCAACTTTTTTCCTACACGACTGGACTGCTGCGTCCTCGCAGAATGCGGCAATGCCGGTGGTTCGTCTTCCTCTCCCCACCTTTATTGACATAATACCCTCTCTCCTATGCTCATATCACGCGTGTACCTTCTCATTCAGCCTGAAACGACGAAACCTTATCGTAAAGAATTGCTTTCGCTTTCAGTTCGAATGCAAGAAAGAGGGAGCGACCGAGCGCCGCAGCCTATAGAGCTATGTAGTCTATTTATTCGACGTCCACGATCTGCTGGTTGTAGAGACATCCTCCATCGTTACAGCTTCTGACAGAACCACGTTGTTGTGCTTAGTAGTTGCCTGACTAATATTCTCTGGAATGCCAAAAATGCACCAGGTCGTTACGTGGTATTTTGCAGTTTCCTATTTTCACGATTAGGATCGTCTTCGCATTGTTTGTGTGTGACTCAGAGAACCACTGCAGTAGGCGTGAATGTTGATTCCCAAAACAATCAGCGCACTAGTGTAGACTAAAGTCGTATACCCATTATTCGGAATAAAGGGGGTCGACATTAGGTGGCATACAAGAGCTGCGGCAGTAGCATGGATGTACATGGCAGACCAGGATGCGATACTCCCGGACAGCCTGTGAAACGACCCCTCTCTCTATCTCTCTCTCTCGCTCTCTCTCCGGTGCAGACGCAGAAAAAGCAGGTGACATTTTGCGTTTTGCTACTCAACTCTACTATACTCTGCGGGAGACTGAGACCGTTTGAGATAACGTGGGTACATACGAAACAATAAATTAAAATTTTCAATGTTTATCGCAAAAACAACCACAGACCATCTGGACCGTCATATTTGGCCCAACGCTTTTATGATACCCTCCACAACAAAAACGCTCAAACGAAGCCACCTAAGGCGAGCAATGTTCTCCAATACTCTCTCAGCGTTTAGCCAATGCACATACACTCTAAACGAATATCACACACTTATCGAGTCGCTTTGCTCTGCATTATTGTATTACTGTGCGCCTGAAACAGCGTAGATTCTATGCACAAACAAAAAAATACACACCATTCCGTTCCCGGATGACCATTCACAAAACGCACGCAAGCCAGGGGCACACAACACGAGCAGCATCAAAACCGAACATTTGAGGTCGGCATTCGTTTCATCTTGTACTCTAAGCTGTTCCAAAACGGTAGAACAGAAGAAAAAAAAAACACGACCTCTACCACAGACGGTCTTAGGGCATGATCCTCTAATGACCCCGACTCCATCAACACCACCACACGTACGTCCGCACCCGCTACCCTCAACAAACATCCCACTCGACGATAAGAAGCAGAACGGCCAGCATCAAGCCAACAGTTGAAGGAAACCGAGTGAAATAAACACCCAAAAAGCACACAGGACTCGTTCAGCGTTCAGGGTATGCACGAACGTGCCCCAAGCGCCTTCACGAAGCCGCCTCGCTTGTAGCTTTCAGCATCGGCCCCACCTGCGGCGCACCACCTTCGACAGCGGCCATGACAGCAGCTAGTCGTGCCCGTGCTCCCTACACCTGAGCAAGATGCTCAACACTTTTTGCGACTTAGTGGAGCCACTGGACGGTACACTACCCGTGACCCTTACCGCAAAGCTTACGCCGTAGTCCCAGCCATGTGGCACCTGTCCGAGACAGCGTGTAAGTGCAAACTGTGCCGCTGGTGTGGTTCAATCTGCACAAACGGACTATGGCACCCGCGCGTCGCACAGCGCGGCGAGTGGGAGGTCTCGATGGCACCCACTTTAGGCAGCAATGCACGCGGTTTGTTGCTGCTTGGAACGAAGATCTGAACCACGCGCCCCGCTGCTCTCAAATGCTACCTTTCTGTGATAACCGCCACAGCCACGACACGATGAACGACACCGTACGGCTGGCCATACATATAGTGTAGAGGAAGGAAAGCACTCAAAAGGGCTTGGTGCAGTAATTATTGCGGGACCCGTCGAAAAAAGTAGAAGTGTACATAGGCGGAGACAATAAGTCCCAGCATCGTGTACCCTTGGCCCCAAAGCGTCCCGATCGGAACCGAATTCTAGGGGGCTCGTTACCGAAGGCTCCATAGATTTGGAGACGGAATGCCGCATCCAGGACGCGGTTCTCGACCACGCGTCAGAACTCTTCCTGATTATCACGCCGACCCTGGCTCTTGTCGCTCTCCGCGGTTTGAGTTCCCTCACAACACCAGGCGGGTACAAGGGCGTCCATCAGATAGGCAGGGGCTTGCTGCTGCCCTTTGCAGCGGGGGTCTTGTGTACATTGCTGGCGGTACCGATGAAGACAGACAGACAGACAGACGCACGGACAAGTGGTTAGGTGACGATCGTCCGGGGGGTTGACTCAAGGCCTGGGTTGAAGGAGCTAGATCGTGGATAGTGGAGGCGCGAGATACATGAAAATTTGTTGTCGAAGACCGAACAAACTGTAGTTTATTGTGCACGGAAGAATTCGGAACATCTCCCAGATCTACGTGTGTATCCGGGTTCTTGTTGTGCCGCGCTGGAGGCACGTTGGTTCGGATGCCTTGGTTCGGTTTTCTGGGGTCCCAAAAAGAGAAAGGTCTCACGTAGTTCTCATTCTGCTGCCTCGCTGCTCCTGCGGCAAGAGTTTGATAGACGCTTGTCCACTGGACCCAAAGGCCACGTTGTGAGAAAGACACAATATGTACCATGCAGCCCGCTTTGGAGTCACGCGGCAGAAGGGCAGCAGCTAGCTACATCGAATTTTGGACGATAGCTAGCAATCATGTCGTGGCTTTTCTCCCGCCCACCCACCCCTTTTCTTTCGAAGGTGGGGGATAGGAGATATGTTACGAGTGTGGGCTCACTTTGAAGAGGCCTCTTAATATTTTCTGTGACTCGGAGGAGCCACCTTTGCTATGTAGAAGCAAGTTAGCGTAGCATGGGGTGTTTTCTGAATGGAAGCGTACCATTGGGAGGCTCAATCGTCCGAGACGGCTACTGTACAACAGTTTCGTCCCGTCTGGTGGTATTCGGAGGGAGATTTGTGTTTAGTAGCAGAGGCACGTTAGGATACCGCGGAGGCTTTGTGCCGTGCGGGACGTGTGGTACGGGGGAAGTCTCCCTCCGTAGGCCACAGAAAATATTAGTCAAGGCAATTCGAAAGAAAAACAATAAACCGGCCTTTAGAATGCGCAGGACCGCTTTTACTGAGCAAATGATAGCATTTTGGTAACGCTGGAACACCACCCGTGAAGCGTTATCTTGTAGGCATCATATTTGCGTTCACCTGGAATGCAACGCTTGAATGATTGTTTCAGGCATCCTCTAGATCATTGCGAGCGGCTTGGGACAGTGCAACTGCGAAGAGCGCGCAAAACTACTGTAGCATAACTTTTGAGGGATGCCATGAAGGCGAATACAAGTCACAGCAGTCTTCATCGTCGCAGGGAAAAAAAGAAAAGACGTGAAGCTCTGCAGCACGACTCCCCCAGAAACTCGTTGTTCTGGGACCACAACAATCGCCGTGCAGTCAACCTAGAGTGGCTGTTTTGAACACCCTACAGTAGTGACACTACGCGTAAGACGTATGGCTTTTCCGTCGGACAACATTCATGACAATGGTAGAAACGTGACAGAGATACCTCCTGCACCACTCGTGTGTGGTTCTCGGCAAGCGAGATGTTCCAATCGGTGGAATTTGACTGAGCGATTTAAACAAAGAGCAAAAGTGTTCAGACGGTGCTGTTCTTTCACCAGCTACGGGAAACGTGTAGTCAATTCGAACGACCATCGCCGCTGTTTCTAATGCAGCGGATGTACGAAGGAAGAAGAGCTCCAGGCCAAAAATAACAACCAGGCGAGAGCCGCTGCACAAGCCCTTTCTGCGAAACATATTCGGGACAAGAATGGACACGCTTGGTCTCTCACCAAAGGCGCGCGGTGTCGCCTATCCCGTACGAAGCCGGCCTGTAGCAGGTGTCGATCTCGCACAAGACCTTGCCGTTGACAGTTCCCCCTCCCGTCTTGCCACCGCTCTCCCCCTCGCCCTCGTGTCCCCGGGGGCTCCGCCGTTTTCCCTCGCTGTCGTGACCCTTTCCGCCACGGCTACCGCCGCCACCACCGCTTCCGTTCGACAACCTGAGGCGCTTGGAGCTCTTTCCGTTGTCGGTTCTTCCGCTACTGCTGCTGGTCTTGCCGCGCCTTTGGCTGGGTGTGCCAGTCGGCTCGCCACCGTCCCCTTTCGGCGGCTTGCTGCCGCCGTTCTCCGGGGCAGCGGCCGGCGCACTCGGCCTCTCCCGCTTCTTGCCCGCGGTCGGCACTGCTCCGCTCTTGGTGCCAGAGTCCTTCGTGGACAAGGATCGTTGCTTCGCTTCCGCTTCCGCCGGTTGTTGTTCTTCTTGCTGCTGCTGTTGGGCTGCCCGCAGCATGCCCGAAAGGCTTAGCTTCCTCCACGATGGCGACGCTTCACCGACGCTAAACGCGTCGCCACCGCCGTCGCTCCCCCGGCTCCCGCCGCCGCCCCCGCCGCCGCCGCCCCCGCTCCCGGGCTCCTCCTCCTCGCACAGCGGAACGGTGGTGGCCTCGATTACCTCCCCGAGCTTGAGCCCCGCCGACTTGGCTGCCCTCCGCTGCTCCTTCATCTCCCTCTTAAGCCTGTTCTCCTCCTCCTTCTTGGCCTTGGTCAGCAGCTGTGCGCCCTCGTCGGCTACCCTTCCCGAGGCCTCGAGGAACTTCCGCGACGGGGCGCGGGCCCTGCGACCGCCGGAGCCGCCGCCGCCGTCGTCCGCCGCTCGGGGGGACTCATCCGCGCCTTCCCTTTGAGGCACCCCTGCCGCGCCACCGGGCAGGACCAACACCATAGGCGCCGTTCGCAGGTGGAGTCGGTTACCGGATGCGGTCGTCGCTGAACCCGCGGGCGGTGTAGTCGACGGCGAAGCTGCGCGTGGTGATGCCGGTAGACGGGTGAGGTTCTCGGCGGAACCCTTGCGCCCCGCGTTCTTGCTCTTCTTTGCGGCAGACCCCGTAGTTTCTGCTGCTGTAGCAGCAGCAGCAGCAGCAGCAGCTCCCTCTGCAGCTTTTTTCCCTCCAGAAGACGTGGGCCCTTTGCCGTCAACAACAGATCCCTTCCCTCTCGCTGGCCCCTTACCCTTGTCCGATTTGTCCTTTTTTTTCTTGGTCTTCTGGCCCTTCCCTTCCACCTCCGGCGAAACGTCACCCTTAGTCTCGCGTTTGGCCTTTTTGTTCGGGCGCTTGGCATCGGCGGAACGTTCCTTCTTGCATGTGCTTTTGAGCAACTTGCGGCGGCGTTGTCTGCGTTGACTGAGAGGGGCCGAGGGGGGCGTTGTTGGGTTTAGGCTAGGGTTCAGGCCATCTTTACTTTAATCAAAAGGCCGTTCTACCCTCTACCCCAGCCTCTCTCACAGCTCGAGATGAAACATAAATCCATGGAGGAAAAAACGTCTCTGTGGGGCGGGGGTTGGTATCACTTCCGCCAGCACCACAACCTACACAGCCCGGCTCACGTGTCAAGCTCCTGCAGCTTCCCCAAGCTCTCGGCCTCCTTCAACAGGTGCACGTGGGACTTCTTCTTGTGGGTGGCGCAGAACACCGGACGGCCCATCGAAGGGCCGTAGTGTGGCCTGGTGTTGCACCTGCAGTTGTTCCGTAGGTTCATCGAGAAAACGCGCAGAGGGCAGCAATGCCAAAAAGATGGGAAACGAACGTTGCAGGTGTGGTGTTTCAACTCTAGGCGGTCATCTTCGCCTACACCTGTTGCTGGTGCTGCTGGGGTCGGGTTGTGGTCTTACTGCTGCTGTTGCTGTGGTTACTGTTGTCTGGTCAAGAAAGCGGTCCGACCTCTCCACTAAACTTCCAAACAATCGGCACTTTCTCCGACCGATGAAACGCGAAGCCCTCGCACGCAACCTGCCACCAAAGTAGCAGGTGTTACTCAACCCTCACTGAAAAGACTCCCACCCATCCCGTCAAACGGGGGGGTCTCTCAAGGGGCATTCTCTGTTTGATGTCATTCACACATTATACTAAACGACGGTATAAGGAGGAACGCATCGCTAGCATCCCAGTCCTTGATGATGTGGTCAATGTAGACATTCCGAACAGCCCAAGGATATTTAACAGTAGACCAGCAGCGCACGGGCTTAACCTCTATGCGACCAAACCAGATCATGCAGCGCCATCCAACATTTTTGTAACCATGCAGCAGCAACCAAGAAGCCTGAAGGTCTTGGAGACTACTGATACACCAGCACTCGAATGGTTGAACCAACACCCTGAACCCATCCCAGCTGCGATACGGCTGCGTTGTTGTTGTTGCTGTTGTTGTTGTTGTTGTTGCTGCTGTTGTTGTTGTCGTCGTACTAAAAAACGTTCCGACCTCTGTACCCAGTACCTTCATCTGTTCGTGCTGATCAAAAGCTTGACCCGTCGATTCCCGGGGTTACAGGCTAACTTACCTTAAAAAAAAGGTATAGAAGGCTGTGTGCGCCAGTTTAAAAGGCATTTCCGACAAAGTTTAAGCTTAAAAGAACGGCAGACAAGGGGGGGGGGGCGCTCAGACGCGCCTCCGGAGTCTAGGAGCGGGGGGCACCGCAGATGTGACAGCATCAGCGACACACTCACCCCGGGAATATACATGGGCGGTTCTTGAGGCTCACGTGCCCCTCCTGCTTGTGCCCCGTGCAAAACCTAGGCTTTCCGGTGCCTAAGTGGAATGGGACGGAACGGGGCGAGGGCGGGGCGGAGTCATGATCGTGCAGGGTCGCGGTATGGTATATCACCGATCATTGTGTTCCAAACATAGCCAGAGTAGAGTAGGTCCGGCTTCCATTGACCAGGCTGGTTAATGACGGTGGGGGCGGGGCGAGTTGACACGCACTACTTGCCTTGGGCGCGTTGAATCGCATTGGGCCACGCATCTCAGTGGGTGGAGGCGATGCGATTGAAAGGTCTTTTCTAGTTCCGACACAGCTTTGCTTCCAATGAGTGACATCCGCAACAGGTACACCGGCCGTCAAACAAAAACACGGGTTACCAACGCCATGACGACAGGCCCGTGGCATCTCTTTCCCTGTCTCTCCCCCTCTGTGGATCGCTGCAAAATGCGAGCAAAGATATTGCCTCGTTCGTCTCTCTCCAACGTGCACTAAGGATCAAACATTGAAACATCGCTACCCCGTGTACACAGCAATCGAAAGCAAACGCACCCGGAGCGCCGAAGCTGGGCTGAACGTTGCATCCCGGAACCTCGCACAACTTCCGGTGGAGCGCTGTCATTTCCGTCCGGAACAAGCAAGAGAGATAAGTCACTGAACGGCCCACCATCAAGCCACCACCAGGCTCAGAAAGTACCACTGGGGTACGGTTGCGCCCCCGGGAAGCTAGAACTCAATAAATTGTGGTCCTTTCTGATGTGTTGAAAGAGAGGTTACGTCCAATTCATGGTGGAAGGACACGGTGATTTCTGTGTCGACCGGTAATGATACCGTCGATGGATGCCAAAGTCCATTAAGCCATGCTCGGAAAAAGAGAAGAAGAGGTCAGCAAGGACAGGAAACGTCAACAAATCAGGTGAAGCTAGCGTTGAGCGGTGTGCAAAGAGGCACGTACGGTGATAGCACACGGCAGTGCTTGACAAACGAAAAATTGACGAGGGAGGGCTCGTGGTGCCATTTCATCCGTGCCGATTTGCAGGTAAGGCTCCAAGCCAATGCGCACAGCGTTGTCTGCAGAGTCGTTGACACCCTGCCGCTGAACTGCGGCAGCAGAACAACAACAACAATAACAACGACACTATCCTAAAAAAGTATAACTACAAGTAGCAAACGAGGGTTGAACGAAATGCAGTCAAACATCAGCCCGGCAGCTTCTACTAGCACTAGCGGTAATCGCGCTGAACCTATACCCCCTTCTACAGCTACAGTCGCAACATCCACCGGGGGTATCATGCACAACCACCGCGGCTACACTTGAACTCCCAAGCCGGCCGGTGAACATTACACGCCGAAAGTTGGTTTTAACAGAGGAGGGCATGGGGGGGGGGGGTGTACTCATGAAAACACATGCCGCAGTCGTTAGACCATTGACCTCGCATCCCTACAATGCCGGGACGGAGCGGTGTGCCGGGGTTTGGCCCAGGCTTTCGTTTCACAGGGATGGGCCAGAAGCCGGCCATCAAACCTTGCGCGTGCTGTGCTAAACCACATATGCCGTGGGTTGATAGGGAATCCCGGCTAATCAAGGCTAACCAAACATCTGGGGCGGGATATTTCGATATTTCCTCACTTTGACCCTTCTTCGACCCTGGTGGCGGAGTGTTGACTTCTTCAGCAGCTTGAGAAGGAGAGAGCACCGTGGGTGCTGCAGTCTGCTTGGCATCTGTCTTGGGGCCGCGGCTTGGAGTAGCCGGGGTAGCGGTCTCTGGCCCTGAAAAACGAGAGTAGGGCAGCGCGACACGGGGAATCGAAGTTTAGCGGCGGGATGGGGGGGGGGGGGGGGGGGTTCAAAGGGAAAAGGGCCCCCCCCCCCTTAAAAAGTGGGGGGCCCGAAAACCCGGGGCCAAAAAATTTTTGAGGAAAAAACCCACCCGCCGAAAAACTGCCAAAAAATAAAAAACCCAACGGGAACCTTTTTCCCCTGGTTTTAAACACGGGGAAACCCCCCCCTTTTGGGTTTCCCCCCAGAAAAACACCCCCCAAAATTAAAAAACCCTTAAAGGGGGGCCCCT